GAAAATAAAGCAGGCAGATATAATTTTTTGGTTTACAAAACATTTTCAGTTCACATAATGCATTTTTTTTGAGTAAAGCAACTTCTTGGGTATTTGAAAAGTTCCTTTAAGAATACAGGAAATCATCAATGCATGTCATAACTAGAGGATGAAAATTTGAGGGATAATGGAATATTAGCATAATCTAGATATTTTCCCCAGAAGATAGTTGTGAATTACATAAGGTGTGGGAGTCTGGCTGATGATCTCTGGTGGACAGCAGGCACCACCTTAACCAAATTGTCAGAGTTTACTGACAGTAGTGGAACTAGTTGACAGTGAGATTTGATACACTGAGAATTCAACACCATGTCTGTGTTATTCTGGCCCTGAATTATATAACTTTAGTCTAAGTCTGAGGAAACATCAGACAAACCCAAATTGAGGATGTTCTACAAAACTGGCCTGTATTCTTCAACAATGTCAATGCCATGAAATGCAAAGACTCAGAAATATTCCCATATTGGAGACATAACAACTGAATGCAATAATTGGTATTGGAATATATATATATATATTTTGTTAGGACATTATTGGGTAGTTGATGAATCTCAATTAAGGTCTGTAGATTAGATGATTGTATCAATGTTGATTTTCCGATTCAGATCATTGTACTGTGGTTCTGTAAGATAATTCCTTGTTTTAAGGAAATATATGCTGAAGTATTTAGGGTGTGTCTGCAATTTACTAATAAATGGTTCAGGGAAGAATAGAGAGAAAAGAATAAAGCAGATTTAGTAAAATTTAAATATTTGAGGAGTCTGGGTAAAGAGTATGTTGAACTTATATATCTTTGCAACTTTTCTGTAAGTCTAAAATTATGTCAAAATAAAACCTTAAAAAATGATAGGCTAACCATAAAAAAATCATTTCGATGGGCCAGTGGTAGGGAAACATTTTCTTTCTATGCACATGCTTTTGTAATTTTTAAATTTGTTGCTATTTTTGTTTTGTATTGGAGTTAGATATCTTAACCAGAGCATGCTCTAGGGTCCCCACCCACAGTGTCTTAAGTTTCCCTCCTCATTTACAGGCTCTAAAAGTCCCGGGTTCATCAACAAAGCACATTAGAGCCAACTAACTACAAGTTAGTTATTGTAGCATCTGTATGTACCAAATAAGGATAGTCTCTGGTTAATTTAAGTAGTTTTATCACCAAGCAATTGAGGGTTATGTGAATGTGTGAAAGTAATTTTATTAACAATTTGAAGCTGTGTTATCTTAGTATTATGTAGTGATACAGTGTAAAATTAAAATGTATCCCAATGTGGAGAAAAGGAAGACGGTGGTGTTGGCAAACATCTGTACTCACTGCCTCCCACAACCATGTCAAAATTATAACTAAAATACAGAGCAACCATCATCCAGAACAGCTGGAAAGCTGGCTGAACGGAAGTCCTACAACTAGAGAAGTAAAGAAGAAAGCATACTGAGATTGGTAGGAAGTGCAGAAGCGTGGAATGGGCTGGCCTGGCACCCCATGTGGTGCTTTTTAATCAGGAGGGAGATCGTCTCTGTGGAGGCCGCCCAAAGGAGCAAGGGGTCCCAGCCCCCGACCAAACCCCCAGCCCAGAGTCCCAGAGCTTGGAAAAGAAGTCCCTATGGGCAGTAAGAACTAGGGCTGTAAAAACCAGTGCGGATTGGGGCTCAGTGACACAGAGGCTGCTGGAGACCCAGCTGTTCCTCTTAAAAGGCCGGCACCATGAACTGAACTTACAAGGTCCTGCTTCCTCTGAGCTCCAGCACCAGGGTGAGGCTTTGGAGGAACTGGATTGTCTGGCATCAGGGCAGGAACTCGGGGGCGGCTTTCTCCCAGACAGAGGTGCTTGCAGGGATCATTGTTCCTATGCTGGGACCTCCCCATGGCAGGGCTGACTGGCAGCCATTTCTGTTTGCTCTGCCCTGGTGATTCCCTAAGACGCCGTCTCATCCAATTTACAACCCCACCCAAGCTGTGTGCAGTGGCTTTTGCATATGAATAGCCTGTCCTTTCCCAGGCCTTGCTTCATAGCTGGGCCTCATCTGGGCACTTCCAAACCCTATACAAAGAGAAGGAATCTGCAGATCTCTCTGTAGCTCCTGCTGGGTGGCCCCAGGCAGTGGCTGACTTTGCACCTCCTTGGAGATCCAAGAGCCAGTGTACCCAGTGGTCAGTGCGAGACCATACCAGATTACAACTCTTCACATCCATAAGTGACACACTCAAGGGGCAGACTCAGTGAGCACCAAAGCCCCACTAAAGCAAGTCCTGCTCCATAGGGGTGTCTCCTGCACAGCAGCTCTCCCACTGTAGTGGCAGCTGGTCCTCACAGCCAATTGGCCTGGAGGTCAATTCCTCCCAGTGACACCAATAGCAATCAAGTCTCAAGTAAAACAAGACTGTGCTCACAGCCCACAAAGGGGTGCACCAAGAGTGCCCTGCTCAGGTGACTTGGGAGGTTGGGCCACTGGGACTGATAGAACACCTACTACACAAGGCCACTCTACCAACTCAAGGAGACATAGCAGCTCTACCCAATACATAGAAATACAGGGAAGCAGCCAAAATGCAGAGACAAAGAAACATGTCACAAATGAAAGAAATGAAAGAAAGCCCTTGGTTATAGAGTTCAAAATCACAAGTATAAGGTTACTCAAGAATTTTCTAGAAACCTCCAAAAAAATGGAAAAGGACCAGCCAGAAATTAAGCATGCATTGACTGAAATAAGGAATAATATACAGGGATTCAACAGTAGAGGATTCTGAGAATCAAATCAATGATTTTAAATATGAGGAAGCAAAGAACACCCAACCAGAAGAGCAGAAAGAAAAAAGAATATAAAAATATGAAGATAGTATAAGGAGCCTCAGGGAAAACTTCAAGTGTACCAACATTTGTATTATGGGGGTGCCAGAAGAAGAGAGAGAGCAAGATATTGAAAACCTATTAAAAGAAATAATGACAGAAAACTTCATCTACCTGGTGAAAGAAATAGATTTACAAGTCCAGGAAGCACACAGAGTCCCAAAGATGAGGAACCCAAAGAGGACCGCAGCAAGACATATCATAATTAAAATGCCAAGGGCTAAAGACAGAGAATCTTAAAAGCAGCAAGAGAAAAGCAGTTACCTATAGGGAATGTCCATACTACTGTCAGCTGATTTCTCAACAGAAACTGTGCAGGCCAGAAGGGAATGACAAGAAATATTCAAAGTAATGAATAGCAAGGACCTATAACCAAGATTACCCAGCAAAGCTATCATGAAGGTCAGATAAAGAGCTTCACAGACAAGAAAAAGCTAAAGATTTCATAACCACCAAACCAGTATTATATGGAATACTGAAAGGTATTTAAGAAGAGGAAGAAGAAAATGAGATAAAAAATATGAACAACAAAATGGCAACAAATATATACCTATCAACAATTGAATCTAAAAATCAAAATAAATGAATAAGAAATCTAATGAACAAAATAAACTGGAGAATAAAATAGAATCAGAGGCATGGAAATGGAACAGACTGATGATTCTCAGAGGGGAGGTGGATGGGGGGTGGTAAAAGATTAAACAAAGATATCATATGTATACTAGAGGCCTAGTGCCCCAAAATTGTGCACTGGGGGGGGGTCCCCCAGCCCAGCCTGCACCCTCTTGCAGTCCGGGAGCCCTTGGGGGGATGTCTAACTGATGGCTTATGCCCACTCCCCAGGAACTGGCAGTCAGACATCCTTAGTGCTGCCGCAGAGGCAGGACAAGCTCCCACCACCACCACTGTGCTCACCAGCCGTGAGCTCAGCTTCTGGCTGAGCGGCACTCCCTCTGTGGGAGTGCACTGATCACCAAGGGGCAGCTCCTGCATTGAGTGTCTGCCACCTGGTGGTCAGTGTGTGTCATAGCGACCGGTCGTTCCCCTGTGCAGTCGATTTGCATATTAGCCTTTTATTATATAGGATATGCATTACCTATGGACACGACAAGAGGGCCTGGGGTGGGATGGGAACTGGATAGAGGGGGGTCAATGAGGGGGAAAAAGAGGGACATCTGCAATAATCTCAACAATAAAGATTAACCCCCCCACACTAAAATAAACAAACAAACAAATAAATAAAATGTATCCCAAATGCAGAGCACTGCTCTACCAATAGCTGTGAGTTTTTCTTTGGCTCAGGTATTAATATGTAGATCTTCCAGGAAGCTGAGTTCTCAGGGAAACTTTCTAGTGATCATAAGCAAAATGTTTGTACGCACATTACTAAAAACAGACAGAAACATCTTGGCTGGTGAGGTGGTTTGGGACTCCAGATTTTTGAGAGTCAGATGTAATTCTTCTTAGTTTAGGGAGATGGCTCTGTGGCTTAAGCCCACACATATGCTGGTGAGCTTTACTGTATGGGTGGGTGTACACCCTGGAGAGCACATGTTTTCAGCCTGCTGGTGGGAAGAAGGGTTTTCCCTGATTGATGAATCATCTCAGAGGAGACAGTGAGTGAATGGATTCATTGATCATACCTCTACTTGTTTTCTACTGCTCATTTCTGGAACACTGCATCCTGGGGCTGGAAGTAGTAAAATGAGGAGGGAAATACATACAAATCTGTGTACTTTTCTATATTTTAAATCAATAGTATCTCAGTCTGCTAAAACTGCTGGGTTCCCCCTCATCATTGATTAGATTTCTTTTATTCTGAATTGAGGATGCATTGTGGTTGTCTTGATGACAGACACCCATCTCACACACGGATGCAAAGATGTGTGTCATAATGAGGTGGTTGACAGGCCAGAGAGAAACATAGCCTCTTCCATTCAGTTTGGATTGATCCTTAACAAAGTATCTTGGAACAATCAGCCCAGCGAGGCTTTAGCTCCTGAAAACTTCGGGGCCCACAGCAGTGGGGAAGTGGTTAAGAACTCAACTGTGATAGTTTGTTCTCTGCTCTTTGGTTCCATTCTTAGCTCAAATCCTGCCCCCCTTTTTTTACAGGCCATAGTGTATGAAGGCCAAGACAAGAACCCAGAAATGTGCCGAGTCTTGCTCACACACGAGATCATGTGCAGGTAAGAAATACCTTGTTCTCTCCCTTTAATTAGCAAAGAGAAGATGAATTTGTATCTCCAATCTAGGTGAACTCAGGTTTATTTTGGGGTACGCGTTTAATCTTGCTTGTATTAGACAATCTAAAAAGAACCCACGAACCTGAGTATTTGGCACTAAATTGTCAGGCATCAGAATGGTTCTCAATTATTTATCAGAGTCCATCCTGTAAGACATACATTTCCATATTGATATCTGCACTGTTAATGGGCACAAAGCAGTACCCTCCCCTTCTTCCTTTCAATCAAATAAAATACAATGTAACCCTTTTAGTGTTAATATATGCACTCAACCACACTGCTAGTAAAATGAGTAAGAGTTCTATTGATGTCAGCGGAAGCCTCCGTTTGATAAGATTTAAGGTATAGTTCTCCCTTTTAATTCTTCCACTTAAAAATAGAACGTCCATACATAGGCAGCATTCCTCCTTAAACTGAGCGTGGATTTTCTTTCATTCTCCCCGCCCCGCCCCCCTTGACTCTGATCTCTTAATCTTAGTTACCCAATGTGTAACTATGACAGTGTAGCTAATATTTCTGAGGGCTGGTGAGCTTTTGGAAGGATAGCAAAGCGGAGTCCCTGTCACATGCAAATGAGTGTCTTTATTTTTGTCTGATATCTGACTGACGCTACATTTGAAAACAGGCCCCCAGACCACATTCAGTTCCCTGGTCTCAGCCAGTCCTCCACATGTGGGAAAGCAGACCAGAGAATGAACACTTTTTAACTTGCAGTTTAGGATTCTTATTCTTCATAAAGTAACAGTGGTACTTGGCTCCCAGTATATTCTGAGTAATTGGATGAAGCATGAAGATGCCACTATGCATCAGAGAAAGGCTACTAATTGCTTTGTTAGCCATCAGGCAGGGCTCAAGCAGGCTTGGCCCCTGACTATTACTGACCAATCCTGTTAGGGCTTCAGCATGGGTGGGCTTTATTTGCTGCTCATGGACTTGTAGTGAACTCAGTCTTAAAGCTCTATTGGAAATAAATTAGAAAGGGCTTAATGTATAAGCATGTTTACTTACTGAAATCTCAAATATTAACTTCTTTATCTAGAATTATGTATGTGTCTGAAAATTTCCTGTTTTCTTTTCCTTTAAAAAACATACTTCTAATATAGTATTGTAAAATATATAGGAGTTTCACAAATTTTTGCTTCAGTGATTTGTAAAACTTGTTAATTATTCCAAAAACAGGTTGCTTTTCTCTAACTTTAAAGCAGTAGCAAAATCCAAAAATATGATCGTAGATTTCTCAGAAGATAGTATTAGGCAAAAATCAGCATTATACTGCATACAATAATTGTGTGATTAAAGCTGAGTTGCACTTTACAGAATTAAATGAGTAAAATCATTTTGAAAAGCCTTAAAAAATGACCTCCTTTGTATTACTATTTTTCAGACTGTATTTTAGCTTCCCACAATTAGCATGTTATTAGAATGAATTTTCAATGTTCTATTACCTGTGATTCTAGCAAAATAGGAGACAGACAGGAAGATGGATCTCAACCAATAGGCCACCTAATATCTATATATCATAGATTTGCATCTCAGATCTGCACATGTTTGGACTCTGCTAGAAATAATTCTGTTCTTGAAATACTTAGAGATATATTATGCCTTTCACACACAAGCCTACCCTCTATTAATGCAGTTTATATTTTTCTTGTTCTTAAAATTCATTGGTCCAAAGTATTTTATTATGCTGGTTGCTGTGCTTTACTGCTGGTGTTCTTCCTATTTTTCAGAAACATAAAAATAGCAAAAGTAAAATTCTCAAGCCACTGAAGGCAAATGATGATGTTTGTACTGCATGGCTGAGAGGGAAAAGCCATATTCAAAATGCCATCCTGTTAATGTTACAGATTACGGTTTTTCTGGCTGCCTATAGATGTGTAAGGGGTACTGTTTGTTTACGAGGCCGCCATGACCCTATTACACAAACCTGTCATCTATTGTGTGGCTAACCGTCTTTTAAATTGCAAATCAGATGCTCTTTAGGGGGCTTTAGGAAAAAAAAAATCTCACTTTCCACACCATCCTATTTCTCTTGATTTCTTGCCTGTTGTAAGTGGAAGTTGGGATGTGCTGAATTTGCACCAGGGGTGCAAATGCAGGCTCAATTATAAGCATAAAATTAGAGTCTGTTCACCATTAATCAGCCTGGCTAATTGCTATGCACCACCATTAGCCATATGGTGTGAAAGACAGCTTGCTCTCCCCAAGATGAAATTTCTCCATTGCAGACATGAAATAGTGAGGGCCCTGGATTCTAAAATAGCATGTTTTAGATATTTAATTTCTAAACAACTTTCTGCTGCGCTTTCTATCAAGGCTAACGGCACAATAAAACTTTGCGTTGATGTCACAAAAACTGTATATTTATAGTACCTTGGAGCGATAGTAAAGGAGACAGAGAATTTACATCGACAGGAAAGGGTTTGGGATGGTTCTGTTTTGTTGCGGAAAAGGGGGAAAAGAAAAAAAAAGGAAAGAAAGAAAGAAAAGAAATGAGATAAGAGAAAAGAAGGAAGTTGTGTCTCAGGTGGCTGCAAATTTAAGAAATCCATTTTGTTCTGTTGTGAGGATAACTCCGTGGCACGAGCTGACTAAAGGACTTGCCACCATTGGATTACAATTATTGCTACTCTTTGGGACAAAACCTTTTTGACTTGGTGGCATAGAGTAGTGGCATAGAGCTCTTTCTGTGGAATTCTGGGAGAGTTTCTACAGTTTTGGTAAATTAGAATCTATCGTTACATTTTGCTAATACCTGGTGGTTAAGGCCTTAAAATAATGTGGCCCCATGAAGGATTAAAAAAAAAAAAAAAGAAGTTGGAATCCATAAGAGATTTGATTTTAAGTGCATCTCAACATCCTGTATTTAAATGTGAATGGAAAACAGGAACTATACTTGGGAGTTGAACTAGCTCCCAGCCTCCCAGGAAGGCTGAAGCAGGTTTTCTCTCCTTCCAGGTTTCCCAGGCTGGGCGCTCTGTTGAGGCGAGCGATCTTTTTCCATGATCAGTGCCTGGCTTCTTGTGGGGCCATGGCTTAGTTCTCAGGGTCAGCCTCTCCCTTGATCAGGCCTCTTCTTCCTTTCTCTTTTGCTGGTTTATTCTGATTTTTCCTTCAGATCCCCACGTCAGCGTGACTTCTTCAGGAAAGCCTCCCTAGCCCTTGTCCTGAATTGTATCCCCTTGGTAGGCATTCCTATCCTATCCTGTGCTTTTCCCTCAAAGCACTCAGAGCATTATAACTGTGGATCCATGGCCTGTCTTCCTTGCTGGACTAAGGACTTAAAGGCAGGGAAATTACTCAGTTTTCCTCTGTGCCTCAGTTGTTCCATGTGTGAAATGGGTGAAAAATATTATCTCATAGGTAGTTGTTAAGGTTAAATGCTATCACCTATAAATGCTTATCCTGGTGCCTGCCATATTGAAAGTACTGAATGTCTATTGTTAGTATTTATAGCAGTGGCAGTAGTCTTAGTATTAATATTAATAGAAGCAGAAGTAGTAGTCGAAGCCATAGCAGCAATATCCAGTGTCTAGCTAGGTATCTGGCACATAGTTGTTCAGAGTGAAAGATTGATGAGAACTTTGAAAGGAAGTGAAGTGTCCACAAAAGGCACCAGTGGGGTCCTCGGCATGGCCTGTGGATCGGGCCCAAAACGGCTCTCTGACATCCCCCGAGGGGTCCCTGATTGCGAGAGGGCTCAGGCCAGGCCGATGGACCCCACCTGTGTACAATTGGGGCCGGGGAGGAAGGCAGGAGGTTGGGTAGCTGTGGAGGGACCACGGGAGGGCTCCAGGGCATGCCTGGTCCATCTTGCTCAGGCCCGATTGGCCGGACCCCGGCAACAAGCTCACCTACTGTTTGGAGCGTCTTCCCCCTGGTGGTCAGTGCATGTCATAGCTACTGGTTGACTGTCTGCCCCTGGTGGTCAGTGCATGTCATAGCGAGTGGTTGAGTGGTCTTAGTATATCATTAGCATATTACACTTTGATTGGTTGAACGGACAACTGGATGACTGTGTGTGTGTGTGTGTGTATACATACACACACACACACACACACACACACACACACACACACACATATATATCCTCCATTCTTCCCCACTCTTATTTCATAATGTACTTTGTTCATTCTCGGTGTGGTGGTTAAGGATGTTTTCATTCATTCTTTTAGCCCCTACTGTGTGCAAAGCACTGTGGAATGCTGAGCCCCAAAGGACTGAGTCCTGTAGTAGGAAAGCTGACAGATTAGATGAGACTTGTGGGCAGAGAACCACACTGCCCTGTAGAAAGAGTTGACTGTGATCCGAGCTGAGGCAAAGGATTGTGGCTATTCAGAGAAGACAGGACATACTTGTAGGCAGATAGTAGCCTCAGAAATGGGGAGGAGGGTGAGATAGGACAAGGATGTTAGAGGATGCATGAAGAAGTGTTTGGGCCCGTTGGTTGGGGTCCAGGTAGGATTTCTCTTTGGAGAGGTCTAAAGGTGGGTGGTCCTGTGGCCTGGAGCTGGGAAGAGAGTCAGGGTGAAAGACAACCCACTTCAGAGGTCTCTTCCCAAAGGTGAGAGTTGAAGCTATGGGCTTATAAGGGGTTGACAAGGGTGGGAGAAAAGAGAGAGAAGGGTCCTTGGATACATTCTTGGGGAATAATCACACATTAGCAGGAGGGAGGGTGTGTTCAAGAATTAGGGAAAAGAACCTTGAGCATGCAGCGCTTAAAAATAAAAGGAGGGTGTTTCAAAGACGTGGGCCATCCATGTAAGTGCTAGGGAGGCTCCACATGGATATGAAGACGGAGAAAAACAGCAAAAAGGTCACTGGTGAACCAAGCCAGTTTTTATGGGGTTAAGGTGGAAAGAACTTATGGAGACTCTGGCAAGGAGAGAGTTGGACAGCAAAGAAACTAACTCAAGAAACAAGATGGAGCAAGTCTTTTTTTT